TATATTTGCATTATTATATTATCTCTTGGAAGAATTGAAACAGCACGATGGGGGAAAATATGAAACGTTGCTGCTTTTGAATGTGTTCACCCATTGAACACGGCTATACACAACATCTTTTTCACGCATTCACGTTGAGCTTTAATGCTAATAACAGCTAACAGCTAATGTGATTGTAAAGGAGTCTTGTTGTACTTGTGAGGTAATAATAGTTGTTTTCATTGATGAAGCTCTCCTGCTCATAAGTGTTTTAACCTTGCTGTGTGATGTGACAATAAAGAGCTTCTTCTGACATCTCGTGTTCAGCACTTCTGCTCCAAGGACAGTTTTGATGACTTTCTGATGGCCAAAATAGAAAATCGCATGCATGCTGTACAGAACGACAGCCTTGAGATGTGCGCTGCTCATTTCTGGTGTGTGTGTGTGTGTCGTGCAGGATTTTGGCGAGTATCAGGAGAGTTATTACTCAGTCCAGACCACAGAGGGGGAGCAGATCTCACAACTCATCGCTGGATACATCGACATCATCCTGAAGAAAGCAAGTTACCGGCTGTTAATTAATTAATTAATCATTTTGTTGAAAGTATTAAAGTAAAGTATTAGTTTTTTTAAGTACTGTATGTGCTTTTCCTCAAAGCTAATAATCAAAATACAGTAAAAATAGTGATGTTGTAAAAAAGGGACAGTATTATCTCAGCCTTTGCCTTTCATATCAGCCACTTCTGATACAGTACCAACACTGTTGTCACATCGTGTATATATACAGTTGAAACCAGAAGTTTACACACACTGTATAAAAGGCACATAACCATTTAAAAGAGTCAGATGTTAATGTGACTAAACTTTTTCTCTTTTAGGTAAGTTTGGATTATCAAATTTGTTTCTGTTATACTGAATAATGAGAGATATTTTGTTGAGAAATCTTTAACTTTTCTTGAAAGTGAAGTTTACATACAATAAGATGATTCTGCCTCTGAAAAAGCTCAGATGATGATGTCAAGGTTTTGGAAGGTTCTGATTGGCTAATTGACAACATTTGAGTTAATTGGAGGCACAACTGTAGAATAGTTTTTAAGGAAAACCTCAAACACACACTGCTTCCTTGTGTGACCACATGGGGAAATCAACAAGCCAGAATTAACAACAAAGCCAGATTACAATTTGCTAAATTACACTTAGAAAAAGACTCATTTTTGGAGACATGTCCTGTGCTCTGATGGAACTAAGATTGAACTGTTTGGTCATAATGACCAGTGTTACATTTGGAGGATAAAGGGGAAAGCTTACAAGCCTACGAACACCATCCCAACTGTGAAGTATGGGGGCGGCAGCATCATGTTGTGGGGCTGTTTTGTTGCAGAAGGGACTAGTCCACTTCACATCATAGATGGCATCATGAAGAAAGAACATTATGTAGAAATACTGAAGCAGCATCTCAAGACATCAGCCAGGAAATTAAAACCTGGCCACAAATGGGTCTTCCAAACACACCATGACCCTAAGCATACTGCCAAATTAGTTCAAATGTGCTTTAAGGACAACAGAGTGAATGTTTTGGAGTGGCCATCACAAAGCCCTGACCTCAATCCTATAGAAGATTTGTGGGTAGAGTTGAAAAAGCTTGTGCTAGCAAGACTGCATATCTGACTCAGTTACACCATTTCTGTCAGGAGGAATGGGCCAAAATTCCTGCAAACTATTGTGAAAGGAGACCCGAAACATTTGACCAAAATTATACAGTTTAAAAGCAAAACTAACAAAAACTACCAAGGAAACGTGTGTAAACTTTTGACTGTCTAGAAATTAATAAAAAGTTCTCAAAAAAAAAATTCTCTCATTATTCTGGCATTTAGCAAATGTAAATCGTTTAGGTAATCCTAACGGACCTAAAATAGTAAAACTTTTTAAGAGTGTATGTAAACTTCTGGTTTCAACTGTGTGTGAACACAGTATACAAGTATACAAGTATGTATGTATGTATGTATGTATGTATGTATGTATGTATGTATGTATGTATGTATGTATGTATGTATGTATGTATGTATGTATGTATGTATGTATGTATA